TCGGCTTAAATCTTGCCGGAAAAGTTAAGCAACTCATTTGCTGGTTGTTAAGCTTAAAGACAAAAAACGCGTAAAAATTTGTTAGTTATTTTTCACACATATTTTAAATAAATAATCGTGCATTATTGCCATCAAACGAATAATTTTGAACAATGTTTATTTTTTTCAAAATACTCATCAGTGCACAGAACGTGACATGATTTATAATAAACGTAAGTCTTTATTTTCTTTTGTAGTTCACAGTCAACAAGAAAATATGGTATTAATTGCTTTGTTTATAAATCCTTAATACGTACAGTTCATGTCTTGAATTTCTAGATACATGGAAAAAACATTATAGATATAAATCAAATAAGAAATTTATTTATAAGTCACCTTATCAATCGCTTGCAAATTTGTTTTCAACGAACTCCCTGTTACAAAGAGTCAGACTCCAAATACATTTTCATATTAATACTATTTAAAAATAATGATAAATAGAAGTCTCTGTCTTAGAAACTTAAGGCTTAAAGATAACATTATTAAGTCCAACTGTTTTTTTTTCCTATATCATTCTAAATGTAGATTATAATTTAATTATTAGAATTTAATNTACACTCCTTACACCCCTTAAAACATTTACATCTTTTATAACACGGTAGATACTCTCCGATTTTTAAGAATCCATTTTCTACGAATCCTTAAATACATGAGCAAATCACTACCCGGCACGTATGCAGTTTACGGACTACGGCTGTTTGAAAGGTTTTCTTCCATAAAATTAATCGATTCTAGACTAATTCGACTCAACATTTCCAAAATACTTATAATTTATTGCAGATAATCCATATAAACTATGCTATAAACAAAAAATTGTAGTAAAACTTACCGAGTGTGCAGTGTTCGACGACGCCATTCCTTAAGCTTGTTTTCGTCGTGGAGCTTGTCATTAAATGGCGCTCGCTGCTTCCTGATAAATTATTTTTTTTGCGAAAAATTCGCTGAACTTTAGAGACATCATTCATATAAATATAATTTTTATGGACGTTAAATAATAAATGGTTTTTAGTAGGTCCGCTGCTGGTTTAACTCAACGGTTTGTACAATATTCGCTACTGGTCTAGATTCGACCAATCCTGTCGCGACACGAGTCAGCGATGACGTTTTACCGAATTACAGGAGTTTTTTAGCGTGTTTGTATGAATACTATCGCAATTTTTCCGCCATCATATAGGAATCCGAAGTATATGAACCCGTTTTATAGTGGGGTCTACTGTAGTTGTGTATTTTGAATAGATTTTATTTACGTAATTTTCGAAATAATAATTAATTTGAAAAAAGTGTAATTTTTAAGATATTGTACGAATGAATAATTGCATTACACAACATAATTTTTTATCTTCAAAGAAATAATAACGGTTTCTTATCAACTACGATGCTTAAACTTCGAAAATTAGCAAGAAACATTCACATCATGTCACCGTTTTTTTCAGATATTAATGCCCTTATTATAACCTATTTTCTGCATTTACCATGGTGAAGTAGATGAAATAACACGTTAATTTAGGAAATAATTTCACAGAAAGTACTTTCAGTGTAGCGAAACAAGCCTCTAACACCTGCATGTTCCTAAATTGAACGTATTCGTTAAAGCGCTTTAAAACGGAGCGCAGATTCGTTGATAGATTTTGGAACAATTTGTTAAAATCCTTTAATATAAAATGATCAATTTTCTTCAAAATTCTTGGCGTTTTTATCAAGAAACGTTGTAAAAGGCTTTAACAAGCAATAGAGAGAAAGTATCAAAGTCACACGGATCCAGTGATGCTGGGAGACAATTCAAGTTTCCTATGAGAGTAACAAGTATTACAGAGGAAATCAATATTCAAACGGCATTTTTTATTGTAAGCTTTTGAAACGTTTGGCTGTGTTATACATGTGATATATCGACATACTGTGTACACCTTATACAAAGATGTATCTACGAAATGTACTTTTTCAGTCTTGCGTATTAGGAAATTTTAAGAAAGGCATTTAAAATCAGAAGGAAATTATATAAGAATTACCTATTTTAAGCCGGAGATATAAAAAAACATATTTATGTTAGGNTTTGCTGGTTGTTAAGCTTAAAGACAAAAAACGCGTAAAAATTTGTTAGTTATTTTTCACACATATTTTAAATAAATAATCGTGCATTATTGCCATCAAACGAATAATTTTGAACAATGTTTATTTTTTTCAAAATACTCATCAGTGCACAGAACGTGACATGATTTATAATAAACGTAAGTCTTTATTTTCTTTTGTAGTTCACAGTCAACAAGAAAATATGGTATTAATTGCTTTGTTTATAAATCCTTAATACGTACAGTTCATGTCTTGAATTTCTAGATACATGGAAAAAACATTATAGATATAAATCAAATAAGAAATTTATTTATAAGTCACCTTATCAATCGCTTGCAAATTTGTTTTCAACGAACTCCCTGTTACAAAGAGTCAGACTCCAAATACATTTTCATATTAATACTATTTAAAAATAATGATAAATAGAAGTCTCTGTCTTAGAAACTTAAGGCTTAAAGATAACATTATTAAGTCCAACTGTTTTTTTTTCCTATATCATTCTAAATGTAGATTATAATTTAATTATTAGAATTTAATTTTATTTTAAATAATAAAAAAATTTGTATCTTTTTATTAAATAAGTAATATATATTAATTTATGAAAGTATAATATATAAAATAACTACATTACTTAATATTTTATTAAAAACAATTACAGTCGACCCCCTTATAACACGGTAGATACGCTCCGATTTTTAAGAATTCATTTTCTACGAGTCCTTAAATACATGAGCCAATCGCAGCCCGACACGTGTGAAGTTTACGGACTACGGCTGTTTGAAAGGTTTTTTTCCATAAAATTAATCGATTCTAGACTAATTCGACTCAACGTTTCCAAAATACGTATAATTTTTTGGAGATAATCCATATAAACTATGCTATAAACAAAAAATTGTAGGATTACTTACCGAGTGTGCACCGTTCGACGACGCCATTGCTTAAGCTTGTTTTCGTCGTGAAGCTTGTCATTAAATGGCGCTCTCTGCTTCCTGATAAATTATTTTTTTTGCGAAAAATTCGCTGAACTTTGGAGACATCATTCATATAAATAAAATTTATATGGAAGTTAAATAATAAATGGTTTTTAGTAGGTCCCCTACTGGTTTGACTCAACGGTTTGTACAATATTCGATATTGGTCTAGATTCGACCAATCCTGTCGCGACACGAGTCGGCGATAACGTTTTTCCGAATTATAATAGTTTTTTTAGCGTGTTTTACGAATACTGTCGCAATTTTTTCGCCGTCATATAGGAATCCGAACTATATGAACCCGTTTTATAGTGGGGTCTATTGTAGTTACATATTTTGAATGGATTTTATTTACGTAATCTTCAAAATAATAATTAATTTGAAAAAAACTGTAGTTTTTAAGATATTGCACGAATGAATAATTGCACTACCCAACATGATTTTTTATCTTCAAGGAAATAATAACGGTTTCTTATCAACTACGATGCTTAAACTTCGAAAATTAGCAAGAAACTTTCACATCATGTCACCGTTTTTTTCAGATATTGATGCCCTTATTATAACCTATTTTCTGCATTTACCATGGTGAAGTAGATGAGTTAACACATTAATTTAGGAAATAATTTTACAGAAAGTACTTTCAGTGTAGCGAAACAAGCCGCTAACACCTGCATGTTCCTAAATTGAACGTATTTGTTAAAGCGCTTTAAATCGGAGCGCAGATTCGTTGATCAATTTTCTTCAAAATTCTTGGCGTTTTTATCGAGAAACGTTGTAAAAGGCTTTAACAAGCAATAGAGAAGAAGTATCAAAGTCCCACGGATCCAGTGATGCCGGGAGACTATTCAAGTTTCTTATGAGAGTAAGAAGTATTACAGAGGAAATCAATATTCAAACGGCATTTTTTATTGTAAACTTTTGAAACGTTTGGCTGTGTTTAATGTTTAAGTTGCTTAGCAAGTGTACATGCACAGCACAGAGTTTGATGCTATATAACAGCCGGTTAAGGTGCAAACCTCTTTATAACGCGAGAGATCGAAACATTTTCCATCTCTCGCATTATAGAACATGATGTAAAAACATTAAGAATAATTCGGAATTTAGCTAAAAATGTTTATTTTTAACTTGTTATATCTGCCAACGTTTGAGACGAAGTGTATAAAGAAAGAAAGCCACGCCAAAATGAACATCTTATACAAAAATGTATCTACGAAATGTACTTTTTCAGTCTTGCGTGTTAGGAAATTTTAAGAAAGGCATTTAAAATCAAAAGGAAATTATTTAAGAATCGCCTATTTTAACGCCGGAGATATAAAAAAACATATTTATGTTAGGTAGTGTAATTAAAAGTAGAATTGACTCTTAATTTTTTTCACTTTTATTTTCGTAATATTTCAAATTTGTTTTTACATTGTCCACATAGACCTTGTTTATAAATACGACTTATATTGTATAACTTCTAATTAGCTGAGGGAGGAAGTATAGTCAAAAAGTAAGACTTTCTACTTCTGCTAATTAGAATCTATAGCAGTATAAAAAGTCCTATTTATAAACAGTCTACGTAAATAGTATAAAAGTACAATTAAAATTAGTTCTTTTTTCAGTTAGTGACAACTTATCAAAAATTAACAATACAACGAGAAAGTTTGTAATGGCGAATTTGGCTTGCTGCTGTAATGAACTCTATACATTCTACACAGTTTAACTCTGTACAGTAGATTAAAGCTGCTTCCTTCTACTGTTTGGAGTAGAGCAGTTGTTTGGGTCACTCACCTACTACAATTCGTTGGTTAATCTCTTTCTTTTTTTATTTTCTTAGGGAGTGATAACGTCATTAATCTACCTACGCCGTTTGGTAGAAATGCCAGCCAAATTCGCCGTAAATAATATACATTATTTATTTTTCAAAATTATTTATTTCAGGTCAAAATGTCAACAGTTTATCGGGTGGTGAAACAGGTGTCGGTGAATCATTTTCTTATCACGTTCCCATTCATTCATTTTGGCCACAAAGTTATGAAATGGAGAGGTGTAGAAAGTGTTGATACAATTCCAAGTGTTCGATCGATGATTATAGACCTTCTGCTCTATTACATCATATATGAATTCTTATTTTATTACATCCATAGGTACTATTGTTTCTTCAATTATTTTTTAGTATTAAGATACTACCTGAATAAACTATTCAAATGTCAAAATTATTCGTTGTTTGTTTTGAATCGTAATTTAAATAAAAAAAATAATAATAGTGATTAATATTCATATCTTTAAATAAGTTTTATGTGTTTGGTATTTATTTTAATTATTATTAATCCTTATTCGAAATTAATGTAATGAGAACTTTTCACACACAAGATTATATTTTTTAATGATTTATTTTTTAGATTGTTACATCACCCTAAACTTTATAAACACATTCACAAACAACATCACGAGTGGACCGCCCCCATCGCTATAGCAGCAATGTATTGTCATCCTGTAGAGCACTTGGTGTCTAATGTGATTCCAGTGTACGTTGTTCTATGGCTGAAGAAGAATTTTCCACTTACCACCTTTCTATGGTTTACTATATCTATTATCATGCCATTGATCGAGCATTCTAATTATCATCTTCCAATTATAAAACTAAGTGAAACGCATAATTTTCACCATAAGAGGTAAGTAAAATGAAACGTAAACAATTTAAATATGAATCTCGAAACTTATTTCCATTATTTACTTTTATAGATTTAATCAGAATTTTGGAAAATTGAATGCTATCGATCGTTGGCATGGAACCAACTCTCCCATTACTAAAATCACGAGATTCTTTGGAAATTTAATAATTCAATCACATTCTTTTTTGAAGAATATGCATTCAAACATCACGAAAAACAAATAAAAATTTGCACAATTTGAGTGGAAATCCTTTAATAAATAACACTAAAATGTTTTAAAACCAGTTTAAAACTGAAATTACATTTTTTTTTATATTGCTGATGAAATATCTTTTTTGTAATGTGTAAATGAATTGTTTTCTTAAAAGTATTAGTCAGAATTACTAGAAATATTGATATATCAAGTATTTTTGACAATGTACAGGTATACCTCGCCTTACGTCGGTAATTGGTTCCAGGAGAGGCGAACGTAAGTCGAATTTACTTGTCTCCAAATCTACTTGTCACTAGGCTAAACCATAAATTACTATTCCCGGTTTTGTATTTTATTTACTAATGCATTTTAATAATATATGGTTAATAAGGATCTATTTTAAGCTTACAAACGAATAAATTTTAGTTTTTAATATAGTATAGAAAAAAGTACAGTGGGTGATCGGTTAACGAACAGATCGCATAACGAACAAATCGGATAACGAACACTTTCGCGAAAGATTTTTATGTTCGGACAACGAACACATGATCGGATAACGAACACCCCACAGAACAAACACAAGAAGAAGCGACGTAAATTAATGAATACCGATTGGTCTTCCCTTGTCTTCGGGCAACAATTCGAAACTTTTCGGAGTGTGGGAGACGTCGACATCGACGCTCAAGCCGATATATACCGATCGGATATTATTCCTCCGAACTTTGAAACTCTTCCTTGTAATTTCAGCCTTTTATTTTTCTGACAAAACAATTATTTTATGTATTCGTGAGACTGTCGGGTAGGCACTCGTTAAGTTTTGCGTCTGTTTTTCTTTTCGAAAGGTGAGAGTATAATAGCAAAGGTAGAGAGTGGGCAGAAGATGCCTAATGTTGCTGGGCAGTATGGCGTAAACAGGTCTACAGTAGGCTGAAGTTCAATCTTATTTAAGAAACATACTGTATAATCAAGAAGACTCAAGCAGCTAAAGGAGTAACAAAAATCACATCTGAGAAATAAAGAATATCGAACAGTTCATAATGGAACACGAAATGGATCTGACGACAGAAGAACGCCAAGAACTCTTGAATGAAGAACACCAAGAAACTCGGCGAGATATGTTTTCTTCTGAAAAAGAGGATTAATGCCGATATCTTATATTAAAGATCCTTTGAAGAAGTGGGAGGATGTCAGAACAACCGTCTTAGAATGGCATCCAAACCAGGTTAAGGCTTGGGGATTTCTGCAATTGCAATGCTATTAATTACTTACGAAAAATCCTGAAGAAGAGAGAAAAGCAATCGACATTAGACAGATTCTTTAACCCTTTCAAACAGAAAAAAAACACGACTAATAAAAACGCAAGACAATGTATGTATGTATTTTTATTATCATCAATACATATAAATAATGGTAGTAAGAAAGTATATATTTTTTATTTTTGGCGGTCTCCAGAACGAATTAATTAAATTCCCATAGAAACCTATGGTAAATCGATAATCGGTTAACGAACAATTCGGATAACGAACAAAGTCTTGGAACGGATTATGTTCGTTAACCGATCACCCACTGTAATCTAAATTTACGAATGCATGTACTGTAAATACAGTGCATACTTGTAAATGTATATATTTCAATATGATTTTATGTGCTTTAAATGCTTTTCTAGTGATATTACGACTTCAATATTTGTGGCGGACAGACGTAAAGTCGAATAAAATGACTTGAACTTGATTTTGATTTTTCCATATACTTTTTTGACAAACGACGTATAATCAGGAACGTCGTAAGTCGAGGTATACCTGTATTTCAGTATGAAACATATTGATTAAAAATTATTGTCAGCTTAGTAAACTAGTGATAATACTTAATAATAATAAAGTCTTGAGAAAGTAATTTATACACTTCTTGATTAAACATGCTACTTTTACTTTGAAATAATCATCCTGTGAAAATAGGTATCACAATGGTGTCTTGGCTTTCTATAAGCACTGTTTGTTTACACACAATACTGTTTTATAGAATATTACTATATGATGTATTATATATTAATATCTGATTATTTTATATAATATATATGAATAGTAGAATATCATTTATATAGTATTATATTTTATGTAATGTAAAAGAAACTTTAGTTATGTGAAAACAATTGCAATCAGAATTAATCAGACTTTCATACGTAGTTTTTGGTGATGGATTGTTTTTTCATTGATAAAGCAAATGTAAAATTTTAATTCGAAAAAATAAATATATATATGTTAAGATAATCTAATTTAACTTTATTCTTTATGGTGTATTATTATTATTTTTGTAACTTAAACTTAAATATTTTAAATTGCCAATAATTAAGTTTCATAAGGATATGCGCTGACTTTTAATGTGGCCAGATAGAAAACATTGCTGAAGATCTGACGTTTGAGATGAAGATTGTAAAGTATCAATGAAATATATTATATATCAAGACAAATTGCTACTTATTTTTAAATACGTTCTCCACATAGACTTATTAACTCGATCGCCCCTTCGAAATATTATACATTTTTCAAAATGATTAGTTTTGTAACTATTCTTTTAAACAGATAGAGTATGTAAAGTGTAAAAAAAATTTTTAAATATTATAATGATTAACGTTAAATTTCAGAACATATAATTTCATAATCAAAATATAAACAATAAAGTATTAAAAGAAACTACCAATTATTTATTGTGACTAGTTAGCATTGCGACTAGTCACAATGCTGGTTTGCAATTTTTAATTATATATTTAATTTATTTAAAATTTAAAATATATGCTTATTATCTGAAATTAATAATGCCTTGTCCCTGTACAGTACATCAAACTTTTTCTTTAACAACAGAGCCGTATCGGTCATCTATCTAACATATCCCAGAAGAATTTTTTTGATGTGAAACAAAATGACTTCCGTTTTCGTTAGAAGTTATTGAATATTTATTGTACGTTTCTTTAGAAAGCTATATTTAATTGTAATTTTCTTTTAATTATAATTTTATTGACTGATTTTAAGACATAAAATCTTCAGAATTTTTATCACTTTTGAATGTTAATAATTTTAAATATTATGAAAAACAGTTTTATGGAGAATGTTTTGATTTATCTAAATTACATAGTAAATTGCAATATTTATATTCGTGTTCAGACTATATTGGCAAGTCACTCTTAGACGTAAAATATATTATAATTAATGACGATCCGAACACAAATATACTAAAAGAAATACAAGTCGACACCCCTATAACACTGTTGATAATTCCGTTTTATATGAATTTCATGTTGTACGAGTCACTTAGATTTTACAAATACGTAAGCCGGGCTGTGAACGGTTCACGTATTTGTAAAGTTTAAGTGACTCGTACATCATGGAATTCATATAAAACGGAATTGTCAACAGTGTTATAGGGGGGTCAACTTGTATATGATTTAATATTGTTAATTTTTATGGTACCTTCTACCAGTGCGTCTGTTGAGCACAGTTTTTTAACCAAGAAGCGAATTGATAAATTTGCAAGAAACACTAGGAGGAAGGATTGTCGTCACTGGTGTGATAATCCGGAGGTACTCTTAACAAGAGTTACATAATTTTTACCTTAAACAAACTTAAATAAATAATTTACTTTAATTTCACTTAGAAATATTTAAAAAGGATAAAATTTGGAATAATTAATAAAACATAACCTAATAAGGTTATAAAATTTTCACATCCTGAAGAACTGCTATGTCACTCAACAGTTTAGCAAGAAATGAGGATGTTTTGCTTCCTTCCTCCACACCTCATATCTGAGAATTTTGCACACCACCTGGTCCATTGACACATCAATTACTGATAATAATGATGATGCAGAAAACGATGATAAAAAGGCCGAGGTAGCTAGATTCGGGGCAGTTGTTCCCAACATTGCCATACAGAGGAGTTCGTTCAAAACATTGCTAAAGTGAGTACTAAAGTGAGTACTCCGCCAGCTGATCCTGTCCTTCGGACTCGACACCTCAGGAAGAGAATCTACGAGGTACAAGTTTCAACATGAACAACGAGGTAAAAGTTTATTGTAAACTCTCTCTCTCTCGGGTTAGCTAAAAATAACAGAGATACAAATAGAGGTTAGCTAAAAATAGAGATACAAATTATCCATACATAGGTATGCCCCATATTGTTATTACTTTGTATTATGTTATTCCTTTGTAGCCATTATATCTTGTTGTAGTATTGTTAGTAATGATTAAACTGTTAATTTTATATTATACTACTTCCGTAGTCGAGTATCTGTTCTTTATGCACAAACCCCACACAGAATCTTACCACTCGGGTTCTGAGAAAAATTAAGCTATCCAGTGACAAAGTGAGCAGGTCTAACAGATCTGACGATTAGAGGGCCTGGACCCTCGTCCGTATTCTCACACTAGTGTTGCTTTTTATAGAAAAAGAGCTTTTAAATACTTTGATGGAATCGACTACCAGCGATTTTTACGATAAAGTAATTAACGACTTGGCAGAAATAAAATTGTCGATTAGAGTTAGTTTATAAAAATAATACAGTATAAACAAGTTCTTGTATCTTTGTTTCATCTCAATTATCTATTTTAAAATTAAAATAAATAAACTGTTTAATTTTGTTATTTCCAGTATTTTTCACTCACATATTTTTATATTTTCACGAAAAATCAGGTAAAAAATAGAAAATGCTTTTATAAATAAGACTTTCTATTTTTGCAAAAACGGAAACACCAGTATAATAAGTCCTAATAATATAGTAATTCAATAATATAACAAAAATAGTATACAATAAACATAAAGGAAAATGAATTAATGCGTTGATTAACGTTTGGATGAAGAATGCACCATGTTTACATATTGAATTTCTTTTCGCAAATTTATTAAACTGAAATTTATTTTCTCCGTAATCACTGGAAATTTAATTAAATATTTATTTATAATCAGATAATTAGGTCCGATTTCTTTCTTCTTTTTAGTTTCTTTTCGTAATAAAACAGATAAGGAAACATTCACTATTTTACACGAAATATTTAATAAAGCTGCTTTGAATATAGCTGAAAAACAGGAATAAGAGACAGTACGATTATTGATTTTTCTATCTTTCCTAACCGTCCTTCACTAGTAAAATCGATATTTCCTAGTAACCGAATAACGATTGATNAAAACAGGAATAAGAGACAGTACGATTATTGATAATTAGATCTATCCATTGTCCAAATATTAGTTTCTTAAATAAATTAAAGAATACAATAAA